AAATTTTCATTTTTTCTGAAAAGGTGGTGTCTATTTACTTGTGACCACACTGTTTAGATACCTATATATATAAAAATGTGTATATAAATTTTCAATTTCTTAAAAGGAAATATTTAAATACATTCTCAATCTCCCTTTGTATGACAGTCATGACATTTGTTCAGTAGTTCTTGCCCATTCTCTAATTTATTTACCATTCTGTCTTGAAGTACATAGTTTAAAATAAATTACTCATTATAATATAGATATTACTAATGCAAAGTTTAATTTTTATCAATCTTCAACTAGAAAGTCAGATCCTCTTGCCAAGTTCACCTGTCACACTCTCTTTTTCACAAAATGCCAATAATTCTCTCTGATGTTTTCTATTATACCATTTATAACCAACAGAAAGATGTTTTTATTCTATCAAATGACGTACAATGTTATGTTGTTTTCAGTATAGTGTTTTGTCTATTTTGTCCTCAGTTTAGAACTCTCTCTCATGGTGTTTGATCATGAAGTTAAGGGAATTAATTTAAGGTTTATCATATGTCTTACTTAGAAAGCCAATTAAATTTCTATAGTTAAAGGACATTGTTTGCTTTGTGCATGTTATCATTTTGTGCTCTTAGGTGCATTCTTTAAGTAAATAAAAATTATTTAATGTATTAGTACCATTATTACAAAAAACATGCTTACATTTCATCAGCAACCGACATAAAAAAAAAGATGTCAAATGGAAGTATTATATTTCTTGTTTTTTCATGTACATTTTTATTTAGAAACTTATTAGGCTAGATAAGGTTAGATTAGGTAAAAATAATGAAAAATAATAATTCTCCACAAATGTTGTTGAGATTAAAAACACTTCTTCATCTGAAAATTCTCAGATTTCATTTGTGTAATCTTTAAAATAATTATCAAACGTTTTTGTATTCAGTTTAACTATATATTTTTATTTGTTATCTTCTCTTTCCTTAACTCTGGACTTGGTCAATTTGACTGATCTTGTAACCACCATAAAAAATATGAAATAAATATAAATTGCCCTTTTATTCTTTCCATAATGACTGCTAATTGTTATAGGAAACTACAGTTGTTTACCTTATATTGCTTAAGACTTATGACAAGTAACACAGTTATGGTCTAATATTGCTTTCACAGTTATGGTCTAATATTGCTTTCACAGTTATAGTCTAATATTGCTTTCACAGTTATGGTCTAATATTGCTTTCACAGTTATAGTCTAAAATTGCTTTCACAGTTATGGTCTAAAATTGCTTTCACAATTATGGTCTAATTCAGGATTCACAACTTTAATGGTATGTTATTTTTGCTAGGTTAAATATAGTGTCATTAAATAAGAATAATTTTATAATTCTGGCTATTTTCATAAAATTAATTTTACGTATATTTTGATTAAATTATATAGAAAGTTTCTTTTCAGTTGTAAGCAATTTTTTGATGAAATTTATTTCTTGAAACCATGAACTTTTTCCATATGTGATTAGAGGATTATATTGGCTTTGTAACTATCAGGATTTCTATACTCTAAAATTTAATATTTGGCAAGCTTTCAGTAAACATTACGATTCTTTTGTACATGAAGTATCTAATTTTTTAATTAATTATTTTTACTAAAGATTTGTCTGTGAATATATGAAGTTAGAGTGTTGGCTGTTCCAAGTGCAAAGTGATTTTCAAAGCAATATTAGACCATAACTATGAAAGCAATTTTAAATCAATTCTTCCAATGCTACCTGACAATTAACAAAAGTTTTTTTAGGAGTTTTATATGAACTTACATGAAGGTTTTGGACTGGACAGTCTTTTCCAACCATCTTAAATGCTAAATAGGACACTTGAAAGATATCTGGCCTCTTATCAGGATCTGGTTCAAGCATATATCCTGTCAAAACACAAGTATGAAGTGTAATCCAGGAAGTACAAATACAAACTGTACAATTTCATGAGTGTACAAATAGCTGAATAAGAAGTTAAATGCACAAAAAAAAATCTACCCAAGGTTCCTGCACAGCAAAAACAACAACAATGTAACAGTAACTTTAGATATGAACTTAATGTTCAAAAACAGTAAGAATGTTAATTTAAAACAAAAAATTCTAAATACTTACTTATTAAACAGTGAAGTTTTTTTGAATATCGACAATTGTCAGGAACCGTGAAATTGCCACTCTGTATTGCAAGGGCACTTTCCGCAAATGGCAGAGAGAAAAAACAAAGTTTATATAACAAGCATCCGAGAGCCTAGAAGAAAAGTAATAATTGTTATCCAGACTAGACTGGCATACACAATGAAAAACAAATATTACAGTTAAGAAACCTATAAGAAAAATAAGATTTAGGCAATATAAGAATATAAAAAATTGCAGTGTTTATTATACAACCACATTAATTTTTGTATTCTTTACTAAATCCAAGACATCATACTTAAAGTTTAGTGTCAGTTATTACAGAATAAAAGCTATTTTAACCTAAAACATTATACTTTTAAGTATGATAATATGACTGATCTTGGAGAAAGTATGAATTTGGTTTGTTCACATTTTTTAGATCTGTTAACTAGACTTACACTGTATGACACATTTTTGAACCAAAAAACACAACAAACTTTTAATTTATAAGGTGTTTTGAATCAAAGCTTTATACAGTATTTACCATCAAAGATGGCCATGCAAATTATTCAGGGTATGACTAAACTTATTTTGGGTGAAGTATTTTAACCTTTCGACTGAAACTGACAATAAACTGTAGAAACTGAAATCAAATTTGAATGGACAAGAAAGCTAAATGATAATGAAAAAAATGTTAATTCACTCAAGGAAAAAAAATAATATTTAATATGAAAATATAAGATTAAACATTGAGAATTAAAAAGAAATAAACTTGTCTTTTTTTCACTGACTTCATGCATTTTAGGGTAAATATCACAGTAGTACCACCTCCCAACAGTAACATAATGAAAATGGAGTAATTTGATATTTTACATTTTAGGGTAAATATCACAGTAGTACCATCTCCCAACAGTAACATAATGAAAATGGAGTAATTTGATATTTTACATTTTAGGGTAAATATCACAGTAGTACCATCTCCCAACAGTAACGTAATGAAAATGGAGTAATTTGATATTTTACATTTTAGGGTAAATATCACAGTAGTCAAATGATAACAAAATAAATATTTCTTCAAACATCATACAGAGCTGGACTTCTATATCATAACTAGCACAACATTCTGTTAGATAAAGCTATAAAGTTATGCTTAAGGCTTTAATATCAAAACAAAGATAAGCTGATATTTCACAAGCATGAATTTCAGAAACTTGTGAATTTTGCCATCAAGGAATTATATTTTCAAGTCCACAATAATTTATATGATGAAGTATATGATGTAGCTATGGAATCAAAATCAGCCCCGTAACACGTTAACTTGTTTAGTTCCTACCATGAAGTGTTGGTTTCACAAATATCTTTTCTTGTTTAAACAAATATGCTAGAGAAGGTTAAGTGGGTAAAAATATCATCATTTTTAAAGATGTCAAACATTTGGCTAATGTTTTGAGCTATCTCAACAATAAATATTATTCATGTTTATTGAAACATTCCTAAGCAACCAAACTGTAATGTTACTAGAGAGAAAAGTGCTTTAATATTACCATATACAAGTAAACAAGCAAGTTTAATTAAAAAACAATTACTTAAGTTGTGCTATTGAGCTTACCAACAAGTTTACCTAAGATATACCTTAAATCCCAGTGTAGTTTGAAATATTTGTTTCAGGTTTAAGGACCAAAGTTTGTATTCAAAACTTTAAATGTTTAATATGAGTATAATATCTTAAGATGATTTTTATGTCATATTAGACTAACAACTAGGTAGCTTCAAACTTGCATATCATATATATATTTAATGCTATAAAATTTGAATTCATGTCATTTTCTAGCATTAAATTGTTGCTATGAGTAGGTCAAAATGTGCATGTTATGACTTTTTAGTTACATTCAAAATTTAATTAAACTACTTTATTATCATGATATATATATAAACTTGACACAGAAACACAGTTAATAATTCAAATTTGGATACAAGTTTTAAATTTTAATAAGGAAATATTTACAAAAATCCTCAATCTCCCCTAGTATGAGAATTTTGACATTTGCTCTCTAAGTTTACCTCTTCACAAATTTATTTACCACCCCTCTGAGAAGTATGGAATTTAGTGTAAATTACTCATTATAATATATTACTCAGGCAAAGCAAAATTTTGATAGCCTTCAATCTTATTTGTCTACAAAGCCATAAACTAGAAAATCAGACCAACATGCCACACACACGTCACATCCTCTCTTTTCCAAACTGCTAATAATTCTCTTTGACATTTTATACTATATCATTTATAACTAATAGAAAGCCAAAGTTTTAATCTATCAAATGGCATATTATATTACATTGTTTTTCATGTCTACTTCTGGGTTCAGTTTCAAATTGATTCTCATGAAAATCACACCAACAAGCTTAAATGAATTTTTAAAGACTCTTGTTGCATAGTTAGAAAGGCAGAAAAATTATGACAGTTATAAGGCATTGTTTGTTCTTTGTGTGTTATTATTCTGTGTTTTTAAGTGCATTATTTAATTGAGCATAAAAAAGCAGGCTAAGTTTTGACAGTCAACAGCAAAAAAAAAAAAAAAAAGGCGATCCAGATAAGGATAAGATTGTTAGATAAGGTATGATAAAAAAATAAAATTCTTTATGAGGTATGGTTGCAAGTAGCTCATGCATTACATGGTTCAATATGGTAACATAAGTACACGCTTCCTGAGTGACTTATAACTTTTGTGGTGGGATTATTAGTTAGACACCGTTCAAATGGCAATAAAACAATAAAATTTAAGTCGAAACAAATGTACACTGTTATGACCTCAAGCTATTTTCTGTTACAATTTGCAGTAATTCTAGAAAGAAAAAAGGGTAATTATATTTATTTGGCATTTTTTTATGGTGGTTAATGAAGAAGGATTGTCATAAACGAGAGTCTCTTAATCAATAAACTTCAAATTAAGTTAGATGAGCAAAATAATGCAGTTCATTTGTTATTATCTTTGTAGGCATTTATGTTCTTTAATAGTTATTGATAAAATTATATGAAATGAAACTTTTAATGGCAGATGACTAAGGTTTCTCATAGCAACATTACTGGTTTCTTGGTTACTAAAACATTTGTAATCTTATGAAGCTAACTTATAATCACGTCTTTCTTTGCTGGCAATAAATGGTGGTAACTGCAGCACCGGATGGGTGGTTTCTTGCACATTTATTTCATAAAAGGTCACCTGTATACTATTTTGAACAGTAGTGAGAATGTCTAAAATATAAGCTTGATGTTTCAAGGATAAACTTAACATTAGAACTCCACATATTCACAACATTTATGGAACTGAGAAACAGTGCATTTCATGTCCAATAGATTAGGTATGATCAGTGATGAAGGAAGTAGTTACAAAAGCAGCATAAGACCTATAACCTTATTTTCATCAAGTGTACTTAACTTTCAGTACGATTAGCTGCCTAAACTTGCCAATATTCTATGATCTGCTAGATTACACAATACCTAATTTTTAAAGTATCATTCTTCAGAACATTTCTAAAATTTGGTTCAATAAAATAACAAACAAAAAGCAACACAAGAGACAAGCAGTTTAGTGTCTTAATATTAAGTTTCAGTTAAATGTAACAAGCCTAGAAATTCTTTTCTTCACAACTCTGATCAACAGTCAAACACAACTGTTGCAGTGGTTTGGCAATCACAAAGTAGGCCTTCTGTAACTTATTCCTACAGTCAAAAACAACTGTTGTTGTAGTTTGACAAGCACAAAGCAGGCCTTAAATAACTTATTCCTACAGTCATAAACAACTGTTGTGTTCTTGCAAGCACTAAATAGGCCTTACATAACTCATTACTACAGTCATAAACAACTGTTGAATTGTTTTGGCAAGCACAATGTGGGCCTTAAATAACTTACTCTGCATGCCCTAATGATTGTTTGTTCTTCACGTGGAGGTTTAAAACTTCTATAATTTCCAAAAAATATCAGCACTTTTAGTCACTTATATGATAATCAACAGAACAGCATCTACTCACCCAAATGTCAGCTTTAGTTGTTATAAGTTTTCCACTATATAAATCTACCATTTCAGGTGCTCTGTATGATAAAGTTGTGTATCTGTCAAACACAACACAAAAAAAAACACTTAACGATACAATATTTTTGCATGAAAAGCTCTATGTTACTCAAGTATATATTGTTTCAATTTATCTTACATTCTTTACCACATCATAAGCACTTCATCTGTCTAAGGATTGCACGTAAGCAATTATGCTTTATAATAGTTATTGATAAAATTCTATGAAATAAAATTATAATATCAAATATTTGAAAAAAAGGATAAAATTAATACAAAAACTGCAATTTCTCTGGCTAACTTTTATTATGAAAACAAACATTTAGAAATCTTTAAATCACAGCACCATTTCATCTCAACCCTTAAAAAATGGGATGCAGGGATGAGAACAGCAAATGAATCTTTTGGCTCATTCTCGACCCCAACCCTTAAATACCAGAGGGGTCTATTTGCTCACTTGTGTGCTCTAGGCCATTTTGGAACACTACATATTCCATTTTTTTATGGCTAGAACGATCAGTAAACACTGGACTTTTGCCAACTTTAACTCATGTTCCAATGATAAAAATGCAGAACAGTTAAATACATGATGGTCATTTCAAGAAATACTGAGGCAATACTTGTATAAACCAGTTTCTAGTATGTTTCTACAAGCTCTGCTGAAACATGTAGTACATATAAAAAACTGTTCATTATGCTTCCAAATTGTTGTATCTTGTATATATATATATACAAGAACTGAGTAGATGGCCCATTTGACAACGTTCTGTGAGAATGAGATGCAGTTAAATATTTAATATCAGTACAATCCTACTTCAGTACTAAAAGCTTACTTTGCTATTTCCTCTTCAACAGCATTAACTCCATGACTTTGTGGATTGAGAACCTTAGCTGTAGCACTTCCAAAATCACATAAAACATAGTGTCCACTATCGCTGATCAGAATATTTTCAACCTGTCAGAAAAATTAAATGAACAAAAGAAATTCTATGTTTTCATATACTTACTATTATATAACAAAAATTAAAAGTTTGAAAATCTGGAAATGTCAAAATGAAATTATATTAGATAGTAGTAAATGCAACCAGCTAACTTTAATACAACACAAAATAATAACCACAAACACCAATATTTTTAGCTTGGCTTTAAGCTAATTCAAGAGCAGAGAACAGCAAGAATTAAGGAATAGAATCAACTTATTGCACACACAAAATAATTCATTTTAATGTTGTTTTTTTTACCTCACAGTAACACAAGCATAAACATATTGTGATGTATATGAAAAAAAAATCAGACTCAAAATTACCAGTTACTTTGCACATGGACTATTCAAAACAATTGCTCAATATATTAATGGACAAATCTTTATCTTATTAAAAATACTTCATTAAAAAATGATTTTTTTTTATGTGAAAGACATATAATATTAATTGAAAGACTGCCAAAGTTTGTGAAGATATACACACCATATTGAAAGTTAAAAGTATTAAAACTATAAAGATTTTAAACGAGTACAATGAGGTCATGTGGTCAGTCAAATTGACTAAGCTCATGTTGAGAGTTATTACAATACAAGCAGAGAAATTCATTTTAGAAATCACCTGATACGCAGTCTAACTTCACTTTTACTAACTTACTTCAAACTTAGTTGGTTATATATATATATCTATTGCCCAACTGAGGCCTAGAATTTTCTACAAACTATGAGACCTTATGATGTAACAATACTCACTCAAAGCAACGAGAAAAATTCAAAAGGTTTGAGTAATGTGACGTCAATTCACAACAATTGAACTACACCATAAAGGACTCATAAACAGTTACATAAGCAAACCTGTGATAAATTATCACTTCCAAAAATATTAAATTTAACACTCATGCTTTATCTTGATCATAACTCTCATATTTAATTTAAATGAAACAGTTATGTATATCTAACACAAGACATTAGTATTAGGCCTATAATATTCTTTAAACACAATATTAATTCCTCGGGGATTTTCAAGATTTTGAAGCGTGTATCATAACAGTATTTCAATCACATTATGTTCACCATATCAATTGCTGAGGATGCATTTCACTCAATACAGTTCATTAGGCTGAATAGGACACAACAAATGCAATGGTCAAAACACTATCTATATAAGCCAGTTGTTACAACAACAATTGTGATGGTGTGAACACCTTTTTCAAGCTGCCCATGTGTGATTATAATTATACTTGACATAAGACATTATTCTTAAACCTATGATATTTTTTAACACTACATTCTTTATCTGGATATGACAAGCATAGTGTGGTTGAAATAATATTATTATACATTATTTTAATTCTTGTAGTGTTAAATGTAGTGTTAAAAATATTGTAGGCCTAATACTAATGTTTTTTGACTAGTATAATTAAGATTTAAATAAGTTAAAGTATCATAAGTACAGTAGTACTTATAATAGGAATGGGCCAGATGTGCAATTAAAATTAAAATCTCAAACAGTATGTAAACAAAACTTTATAAGCACTTTACATATACTGTTGAGTAGGAAACAAACCAACTGCAGAGTAATAAGCCACCAAACACTTGAAAAAGTCAGTAGAGTAAAAACAAAAATGTCCAAAAACTACAAATTTTTCAATCTGACTGAGTGCCTAATGTTGTTGGAAAGGCATAACTCTCTCCTGCCTTCACCTTCTGCAAATCTAAATGCACATTGAATTACGCTACCTTAGTTAAAAGCATATTTCTTAGTTTTACTTATAATCTTGGTAATAAAAAGTAATTACCATAACCATTTTGCAACACTACTAATGAGCTAACAATACACTAGTAGCCATATTCTATGATTATGAGCATGCTCTGTGAATTGTCAAGGAACAACCCACCCTCATATCACACACGGAGGTATTAATGCTTATGTGCATGCGCTACGTGAAAAGGAATGCTACCACTGCTAAAGTTTGACACAGCTTTACTTGAGTGCTCTGGACTGAAAACAAGAATGATAAGTTGTATAACTTACCTTTGCATTGTTTTCAAACTAGTGTGACCTATTGACATCTAAGGTTGTACTTGAAACAGCGCAATTTTTAAAATATGCCTTTCAAGAAATCAAAACGAGAGGAAAGAAAAAATCATTATGTTGATAACCTTGAAAAGTGTTTGTCCAAATGAAGAAAGCATTACTGCAATAATAAAGATAAGGTTAGAAACAGAAATGCTGAATATGCGAAACAAGCCTTAGCCATTATTCCAGCTAAAGAAAAGACTACCACTCTGGCTAGATGGAAGAAAAATTATAGCAAAGATGTCAGCAAAAGCCAGGAAATGCTACGAGAAGGACAGGCCCAGTCCCTCTTGAGACTTAGTACCAAGAAAAGCTATGAAAAGGATATGCCTAGAGCCCAGTCATTCACAGAACTAAGTAGCAAAAAAAGCTATGGGACAAGTATAAAAGATTTTTATATAAAAAATTAGGAAGTAGGAATGGAAGTACCAAAAAATAAGGAAACAAGGTAGGAATGAACAGGAAAACATTAAAACACTTGGTTTTTGACACGGTGCAACCTCAAGGAGGGTGTGGTCATCGTTCATCCATTCCTACTTCATGTTTCACTTTGAACTAATTACAGATCTGAATTGAGTCTTATCAGTAGCTAATCCTTTTCGAAATACTTAACAAATTTCAAAAATCAGCAGTTTTTATATTATTCTTTTGGCCCACCTCATACCAGTTAGATAGCTATAGTCTCCCATAAGCAAAATATAACTACAGGAACTTCCTGTCTCACTGCCAACATCAAACACCCCCCTTATGATGTCATGCATTTCTTTATGGTCACGTAATTTGATTACATACATGTATTTGTGCCGGGTTGCTGAAACTATACAACGGAGAAATTTAGTTATATACACCTTTCATTTAGTTTGAACAATTACCAACTTACAAAAAGCACACGAAGTACGAGTGCCACATCCACTTTGAGGTTGTACTTGTCAAAAAACACCATGTGTTGTAATGTTATCCTGCCCATTCCCACCTTGTTTCCTTACTTTTGGTGCTCCCATTCTTAATTTCTAATTATTCTACTTAAAAAATTTTTACACATTTAATACAAGAACTTTATAATGTTCTCCAAAAACTATAAATGAACAAAAGGTTTTTAATTTTAAAGCTTAAGTGAAGATAAATAAACAAGTTGAACAGCATTCTAGGCAGAAAATAAAAACTCACACACAAGTTATAATGATAACAATAAGCTTAGAAAGTACAAGAGTAAAGTTATAATTTTGAGAAGTACAAAGATAAGGTAAAAAATTATAACTTAGCTTAATACATCCAGAAAAACCAAAGCAACTTTTGGTATATGGGCAAAGCATAATAGTTATAAAGCTTTTGTATACAATACCTTGAGATCTCTGTGAATAATAGGAGTTTGACAATGATGAAGTCTTGATAATGCTTCACACACATCACAAAATATTCTCATAACTTCTTGTTCAGAAAACCCTACATGGAGCTTCTCATTCATCAACTGTAAAACGTGGCCTAATGAAGTACAGAAAACATGTTTTTATTTTTAAAATATGTTAATAAAGGTTAATTTACAGTCACTACGATATTTTTCAGGATAATCAGTATGGTTTATGTGATCACCACCTAACAGAAACAATGATAATTTCAGCATACTTTATTCTAAAGGAATTTTTAAAAAAAAGAAAAGAAAAAAGATTCTGAATTTAAAACATGAGATAACACCACTATAAAAAGGGTTTATTATTCCTAACTGACTTTTCATATCTCAAACAACATGAAATAATCCAACACTGAAAATCATCAATTCTGCCACAGTCAGGACTTATATTTATGGTTTACCATTTCTACTTTGAAATTTGGAAAAACAACAATTCAAACTTATGTAGTAACTTAACATACAGTGTCTTGCAAAAGTCTTCACCCCACTGTGCTGGAAATCAATTTTACTTATTTTCTTGTGAAAGACATAACTCAAATGGCCAAAAATATTTATTATATTAATCTCAGACCAGTTTCTAATGATTTCGTAGAACCAAATGTAAAAGTTACACAGAAAAAGACAAACAACGTCATCCTGGTACTTTTTGTCAATAAAACAAGAGGTTCAAAGATGCTCCAAATGATGCTGAAGTAGGACTTGTTCAGCACCATCTTATACTATCTACCAAAGACTTTTATTCTGCAAGATGCAAGCCTACCCAAATGATAAAAAAGGTGGAGGGTCTTGGTTACTTATGGCTTATATTACCTTATTTGCATTATAACACCTAAATAACTACGTATGTGTTAAAATACTGAAACAGTCAACTTCTCTTGATACTGAACATATTCAACAAATGAAAGTAACAAAACCCACACTCCGACCAGTTACATATGCTTTATTAGCTCATATCAGTCCAAGTAATCATTATTAAGTAGCTTTATATGACTTGGTGGAGAAGATTATCTGGTGTACCACATCACCTACTATCTGTATAATTAACTTTAAAACATGACAGTACTAAAAGCAAAAGTGTGTT